AAGGGATTGCGGCGTGACCATCCCCCCTGGGGGGTGATTTCTCGCTTTCTGTCTCTCTGTCTCTCTCTGTCTGTCTGGCGAGCGCACGCGCCCTATGGCAAAAATCTCTCAAAAAAAACCCAAAAACAGTATGCTTTCTTTCTTTTTTTTGAGAGGTTTTTGCCATAGGGCATGTGGGCTCATCAGACAGACAGAGACATAGAAAGCGAGAAATCACCCCCCAGGGGGGATGGTCACGCTGCAATCCCTTCTCCTCCATTCTCCTCTCGGGATCTTGGACATGCATGCACACGCGCCCGGCGTGAGTTCTAAGCCACCGGGTCCGGGACACGAACCACGGTCGACTATGTGGAAGTCCAGTGACATAGCCATTATGCTAGCTGCTGGTTCCCAAAAGTATCCTTTCTTTAGATTATAATAGAAACTGTCTATAAATATAGGGTATGATGTGTAACAGAAATTAATACATTACTAACAAAGAAAGGAAAATTTTGCACAAGACTCTACAGTTAGGGGAAATTATCTTTTCTTAAGAGCTAATCTTAAAAACTAGAATTTTCTGATTCTGGCCACAGGTCAGATTTTAAAATGGAGACACTGGCCATTTGAAGCTCAATTTATTTCTTATTTGGCCTGTTTTCCTATAAGTACATGGCCTTGACAGAGTTTATTAAGAGACTATCACAAGAGTGAAGACAATGGTGCTAAGCTATCACCGTAAGAAGACACTAAGTAAGTAATCCCTATACATTCTTTCAATTCAACTATGACAAATTTTGGAAATAGTTACGTGTCTGTAGTATATATAAAATAACTCTACATCTTTTGATCTTTTTATAACCAATTGTTATAAAATTTTTTAATGGTGATGGAAGATTTAAAGCAATTTAAATGTTTCTTTGTGTATTTCTCTAAAATCAAGCAGAACCTGTATAGGCTGCAAGTGCCCAAATTAACATGTATAAGACTGTTTATTCTTTCTATTGAAATAAAAATAAATTTAAAGAAAGTTCAAAAATTCTCAAACATGTATCTGAAAGAGAACTGGATACTCACAAGTCGGTCTCTGTCATTTTGCAGTGAAGACATGGCTTTTTTTAAACTCTGTACTTCAGGTGGGGTGGTGGCCAGCTGGGCCACAGATCTCTGCTTCCCTTCCTCTGACTTTCGGAACTTCTCAAGCTCATTCCACAGGTGATCTCTCTCATTCTGTAGACTGGCCATAGCCTTGGAAAAGGACTGCACTTGGTTGTAAGAATCTTCAAGCTGTGAGGACAAGTGAAGCAGTTGTTCATCTTTGGATTGCAGCTGCTGGTTAAGTTTCTCAAGGTGAGACAAGCTAATATCCTCAGTGGAGTTCACTGGAAGGGCAGCTTTAGAAAGAACATCCTTTTCGCTGTTTAAGGGACCCTGTTGTCCTCTCAGCTGTGCCAACTCCTTCAGATTGACCTCATATTTCCTTTTGAGTTCATCAAGCTCCTCATTAGCATGGTCTCTACTATCTTGCAAGGAACTCATAGACTTTCCAAAGGACTGAATTTGTGCGGTGAGATCTTTATTTTCTTTGGTGACCATAAGTAATTTCTGTTCCATCTCCACCAGATCTCTTGCTAGCTCTGCCACTCTCTCTTCTGCTGTTTCAGTTTCATTGCGCATTATGCCTGCATCATGATGAAGATGCTTTAATTCTTTCTTCAGTTTATCTTCAATTTCACCTACCTTCTTGGCTGCGTCCTTTTGAACGCGAATCAATTCCTCTTCCAGTTCCGTAATTCTCTTCTGAGATGAAGAAAGCGTAGTACATAATCTCTGTACCTCCTCTTCTTTTGCTTTCAACTGGGCATGATATACTCCTAAAGTGCCTTCTTCTTGTAAGGTGGTCACTTGTTTCTTTAGTTGAGTAATAGATACTTTCAAGCTCTCAATCTCTTTAAATAAACCTTGTCTCTCCTCTTGTAGGGCATTAGAGGACTTCTGCAGGTCTTCCTTTGCTTCCTCAGACTCCTTCAGTTTTTCTTCTAACTTAACATATTCATTTTTCAGCTCCTTATTTTGCTGAAGCTGAGCTTCGAGGAGTTGCTTTTGCTGACAGTCCTTTATTGATATCACTTGGTTCAGGTCTTCTCTATACTGGATGAGTTCTGCATCTAGCTTGGCATTCTCAGAATTGAGATCATCCATATGACTTCTCAAACCTCGAATTTCTTCCTTAAGCTTATTATTCTCAGCAGCAGCTTCCTGGATGAGTTGGTCTTTTTCCAAGATTACAGAGAGATGTCGTTCTTCCAGCTGTTGATAATCACCTACTATGCGGTCACGGTCATTCTGGAGAGAAGACATGGATTTAACAAAAGAATCCAACTGAGCCTTCTGCTGAATGTTTTCCTTTTTGATGGCTTTCAGGGTTTCCGTAAGCTGATTGGTTTTGTCAAGAGCTTTTTTGTTCTCCTCTTCTAAGACAATATTCTCCTCTTCTTCCTGGGACAACAGGTTTTCTAGTTCTTTAATTTCTTTATCATGTTGCTGCTGCATTTTGGCAACAGCTACTTGGATTGCCTCTTCCTTGCCAGAAAGCAGGTTTATAATCTTCTGCTCTTTCATGTTTATTTCTTCATGAAGTCTACTAGTCAGCTCTCTGGAGGCCTGAAGATCAGTCTCCAGTTGTTCATAACTGAACTTACAATTCTGGATATCAACCTCTTGCTGTTTTATGACCCCTTCCAAATTTTCTTTATCTTTCTTAGATTTTTCTAAAGAGTTATTTAAATCAGCTGATTGATCTCTGAGACTCTTAAGTTCTGATTCCAACTTAGTTAATTCATTCTGAGAACTGTGGTACAGGTGTCGAGTCTCTTCTAGTTTGGACAAAAGTTCTTTATTTTCCCCCTGCAAAGCATCACAGACCTTCTGTTGAAGCTGGACCTCTGTTTGGGCCTTCGATTCCCAAACTTGCTTGTCATGTTCAAGCCTGAAAAAAAGAGAGAAGGTCATTAATTATAGATTTCAAGGAAAAACTATATTATGCTGAAGGAACAAATATTAAAACATGTACTCAAAAGATCCACAAATAAATTAATAATTCTAATTGAAGGTGTTAAACTTTTGTATCTATTATTTTTTTTTTTTGAAGAGGTTTTTGCTATAGGGCGCGTGCGCTCACCAGACAGACAGAGAGACAGAAAGCGAGAAATCACCCCCCCGGGGGGATGGCCACATGGCAATCCCTTCTCCTCCATTCTCCTCTCGGGATCTTGGGCACGCACACACACGTGTCCGGCGTGAGTTTAAGCCACCAGGTCTGGGATGCGAACCACGGTCAACGACATGGGAGTCCAGCAACATAGCCATTACGCTAACTGCTGGTCCCTTCTATCTATGTTTTGGAGAGAGGATTTTGCTATAGGGCATGTGCACTCGCCAGAAAGACACAGAAAGCGAGAAATCACCCCCTGAGGGGGGAATGGCTATGCCATAGTTCCTTCTCCATTCTCTCAGGATCTTGGGCACACATGCACATGCACCTGGCGTGAGTTTAAGTCACCAGGTCCGGGACTCAAACTGCAGTTGACTACATGGGAGTCCAGCAACATAGCCATTACGCTAACTGCTGGTCCCTTCTATCTATGTTTGGGAGAGAAGATTTTGCTATAGGGCATGTGCACTCGCCAGAAAGACACAGAAAGCGAGAAATCACCCCCCAGGGGGGATGGTCACGCCGCAATCCTTTCTCCTCCATTCTCCTCTCGGGATCTTGGGCACGCACGCGCACGCACACGCACCCGGCGTGAGTTTTAAACCACCAGGTCCGGGACGTGAACCGTGGTCGACTACATGGGAGTCCAGCGACACAGCCATTATAATAACTGCTGGTTCCCAAGGTGTTAAACTTTTTAATGAAGAGATACTAGTTTTCTGTATCTTTAAGCGGGTCTACTAAATGTTCTATATTAAAGGTGTATCATACCCAAGGATTCATATATTTAAATTATAAACTCTAAAATATGTTGCTTATTTTAGTGATATAATCTTAGACACCGAAAAGTAACATTTTTTCCCTATTTTTCTCTACTGGTTCCAGATAAGCTAATATCTGGTCTCTTTAAGAAATAACCTTGGGAGACCAGCAGATGGCGTAACAGTTACATTGCTGGACTCTCATGTAGTAGAACACAGTGAGTCCCCGACTCAGTGGTTTAAAACTCATAGTGAAAGCGTGTGAGTGCATGCCCAAAATCCTGAGAGGAGAATGAAGGAGAAGGGATTGCAGCATGACCATCCTCCCTGGGGAGGGTGGGGGGCTGGGGGTGGGGTGATTTCTTGCTTTCTGTCTCCCTGTCTTTCTGGCGAGCACAAGAGCCCTATAGCAAAAATCTTTTTAAATATATATTTTATTTAACTTTATTTATTTTAATTTGATGAAGGACAAAGAGAGAGTGAGAAAGCAAGCCACCAGGTCTGGGACTTGAATTGCAGTTGGCTATGTGGGAGTCCAATACCAACTACCACACCACATGCTGGCCCTGTAAAAATCTATCTTTAAAAAACAAAAACAAACAAACAAACAAAAAACAAGAAGGAATCTTGGTATAAGAGACAGTAAGGGGACTTGTATTAGAACAAAAATATTCTAAAATTGAGGTTTGAGGAAAATAACTCTAATATGCATATGTAGCATGAACTGATGCGGACTGTGGAGAAAACAGAAGAGATCATTTGAGACACAAAAGCAACAATTTAGGAATACTGTGGTAAAAATCCAGACAAAGGTAGTAGAAATAAATATGAAAAGAAAAAAAGGGGCTCAGCCTGGTGCAGGCTGGCAGCAAACTCAACTGTAGTGCTGGACGCCACACAACTGTCCACAGGTTTGGATCCCTGAAAAGATGCCAGGAAAAGTGTGCTCATGTCCAGGACCCTGAGAAGTTGGAAGGCCAAAGAAAGGGGATCGCAGCAAGATGAGATCCTGTCAAGGGTGCTTCTCTCTGTCTCTCTCACATGCGCACACACACTACATAAATAAAATAAACTTAAGAAAGAAAAGGGAAAAAAAGAAAGGCATAAAAAAGAAAAATCTAAGAGCTCTCTATAGAAAGATGGGAAAAGACGTGGACTTTTCATGTTCATACAAGCTGTAGCAGGAAACTGTTTTGGGGAAAAAAAAGGCAAGAGAAAGTATTCTAAAGGAATTTGAACCAAATTAGTACTGTAATAGAAATAGTTTAAATACAGAGATTTTCTTTACCTCCAATTACTTCTGGAGAAGAAGAAAATAGTTATAACTCATTTACCTGGAAATATTAATCTTCAGTTCCTCCATGTGGATGGATGTTTGTCTAAGCTGATCCTTTAGAACATTGCAATTTTCCTCTTTGAGTCTAATTTCTTCTTCTTTGGTTTGAATTGCATCACTGAATTTCCTTTCCCACTTCTTGGCTTCATCTATCACTCTGTCTCGATCATCCTGGAGGGAAGACATGCTCTTAGTGAAGGCAGCAAGCTGGGCCACAGTACTGTCCAAGTTTTCCTGAAGTTGCTTAACTTCCTTGTCTTTCGTGTTCAAAGTAACCTGAACTTCCCCAAATGTCTCTTCCAAGCGGACTTTTTCTCTATGCAAAGCATCCAGTTTCTCTTGCATATTTTTCTTCTCTTTCAGGTGCTTCTCTTCTGCCTGCTCTAGTCTTCGCTCAAGATCTTCATCCTTTTGTTTCATTTGGCTTTTCACCGATTCTTTGTTCAACTGAAGTTCCTTTTTCAACTTGAGGTTGTCTGCTAGGACCCTTGCTGCTTCACTTTGAGTGTCATCTAGCACTACTTTGAAGCTAGCTAATTCTGCTTGTGCTTTTTTGCGGTCTTCAACTGCTTGAGCCAGATTTTCTTTGGTTACCTCCATATCTTTTTGGGATTCGGTCTGAACAAATTCTAGGGCCTTAACAGTTCTCTCCAGAGCACTAATTTTCTCTTGATACCTGATGCAGTCCTTCTGCAGCTGCTTTACTTCTTGTTGTTTTTCTTTTAACAGCTCCTGAAGTTCCTTTGCATGGCTTTTACTGGCAGGTTCTTTCTGAGCACCTTGCATTTTCTCCAAATATTCCTTTCGTATTTCTGATTCTACCTTGGTTTTTTCCTTGACTAACTGCTGCTTTTCTTCTTCCAATTCACTCATACACTTTCTAAGGTTCTGCATTTCGGATTCCAGTAACTCGTTTTTTATTTGGGCATCTGTAACATCCTGATAGTAATTCCCAATGCTTCCATTAAGTTCTGCTAATTGATTCATAAGCCTCTCTTCTAAATCATCTTTCTCTTCTTCTGCTGTCTCCTTTAGTTTGGTAACTCTGGAGAGTTCTTCTTGGATTTGCTGATTTAACAGATTTATCTTGGTTACTTCTTCCTGAAGCATTTTTAGCTCATCATCCTTTATTGATATTTGACTCAGTAAGGCATTTTTCTCATTTTCTAAAGTCTGGCTAAATGCCTTGTTTTGCTGTGTCTCCTCCTCCAACTCAGCAATTCTCTCTTTCAGCTGATCAATCTGCTGTAGGTGGTTATTAATGTCATCATGTGAGCTGAAATTTTCACTTATATTAGGCTTAGCACTATCCTCGGTGATAACAGGTTCTGAATATTCAGGTCTTGTGTTCATACCCCAAGAGTCTTGTTCTTTAACCTCACCTGGCACCAACTGTGTGGCCTTTTCAGTGGTATCCATTTGGTTATCATGTTTCTCAGTGGCCTCTAGGGAAGCTTGTTCAGATACATTATTTTCTATCTGCAGTTTTAAATCTTGAACCTCTTTACTTAGTAAATCTTTCTCAGCCATTAAAGCCTCAAACTTATTAGAAAGGGTTTGATACTCCACTCTGACCCTTTCTAGTTCCTCCTTCATGTTGGAATTGGAAGAAACAAGGGCTTCCATACATTCGTTGGCTGTACTTCCTGCAGGGTGTACTTCTGCTCTGAGCCGGTCATTCTCTTCTTCCAGCTCTAGAATTTTCTGCTGTTTAGATTTAGCAAACTTGCGCATCTTTTCTTTCATTTCCTCCATTTCTTGTTCAGTTTCCTGCAACTGCTTTTCTGCCTCTTTCTTGTTTGCTTCTGTGCTTCTTAACTTGCCATATAACTCTTGCTTCTCTTGCCTCACGGTTTCCACCACATGCTGAATCCGTTCTGCTTCATTACTAACATTCTCATAGGACTGCAGAAGAATTTCATACTCTTTCTGTAGCTCCTTGTGTTTCTCTTGCCACTCAGTGCTTTCTGCATTCTTAGAACATTTCAAAGACTCGATTTCCTTCACTAACTTTTCTTTGTCTTCAGTAAGACCCTCTAGAGCTAATTTTAGACTTTCACAAGAGCCATTAAGACTTTGATTTTCCAGGAGAGACCTATCCATTTCTGTAATGAGTTTGTCTCTTTCTTCTTGAAGAAGAGATAACTTTCCTAAGAATATATCTTTCTCTTTATTTTGAGCAGCAACTTGGCTTTCCATATCGGCCAGAGATTTGGTGAGGTGCTCAATGGTATTTCTGGTCAAAGATAACTCCTCTTGGAGACTTTTGTTTTCTTTCAGTGCTTCTTTTCGGGAAATAAGGGCTGCCTGCAGTTTCCTCTGTATGTGCTGCTTTGCTTTACTTTCTTCATTCTCTTCTGCTTTTTGCTTCATTTCACAAGATTCCACCTGTAACTGCTTTATCCTCTCATTATGCTCTTTGGCTTGCATTTCCAGTTGTGTATGCAGAGCCTTAATTAAATCCTCTTGTTCTACTACCTCTGTTTGTATTTTATTAAGGGTGTCTTCTTTCTCAGTAAGCTGTCCAGAAAGGTAACTAATTTCTTCTTCCTTTTCACTTATAAGTTTTTGCAGTTCATCTAGTTCAGGCTGTAGTTTTCTTAGATGTTCTAAGCCAGCAATTTCAAATTGACTGCTTTCCAACTTCTGCTTCAGGCTGTCTGCATAAGCATCAGCTTCAAGGGACGCTGTCTTCAGACTCTGTATTTCTAACTCTTGCTTATTAATCTGTTCTTGCAACTGAATTACCTCTTCTAATTTTTTAGTAAGCTCATCTGTTGTAGAATTAACTTTCAATTCGAGCTCCTCTTTCTCAGCTTCCATTTCTTTTATCTGGGTCTTAAGCTGGGCAATAAAAGTATTGCCCTGCAAAGTATCTGCAGATGTAGGATGTGAGAGCAAGTCTGGACACAAATCAGACTCTAAAATAGGTTGCATGGGACACTGTTCTGTGGTTTTGAATAAAGATTCTTCTAAACCTTGAATGGGAAAGCCTGGTTCATGCTGATCAGAGCCTGGGGGTTTTCTGTCTATGGAGTCTCTTACTTGAATCTGGAGCTGCCTTAGCTGGGCTCCAATGTTCTCATTTTCCTTGCTCTGCTCACTAAACTGCTCTTGCAGGTGGTTATAGTCATCTTTCTGTTGCCTTAGCTCCTCTCTAAGATGTCTTTCTTTCTCCTGTGCCTTTTTTAGAATTGCTTTGCGGGAGGTTATGACTTCCTGTAGCTTCTTTTGAAGTTGTTCCTTTTCTTTCTCAAGGTCCACTATCTTTTCTTCCAGTTCCGGTTTCCAGTGTTCTCCACTACCTGCATCAGGTGGACTGATCACCACTGTTTCTTTTGCAAGTGCTGTTGAGTCTCCATCACCTGCATCCTTGTTATCTGTGGTTAACTTCTGGATAATTGCTTGGTTTTCAGTTATTTCTGCTTGGAGCATATCTATTTGGTTTGTCTTGTCTTGCAAGTTCTGATTCATCTGTTTGACCATAGCCTGTAATTGTTCTTCAACTACCATTTTTTCTTCCAAATCCTTCCTTATATTTTCTAGTTCTACTTCTTTCTCAGATATTGTCTGTTTCAAAGACATTTCTATTTCTTGGCATTTCAAAGCCACACATTTTTCTGAGTCTTCTTTGTTCTCTTTATCTCCCTCCATGTCTTTCCCCTCACTCTCAGTGAGTGGAATCTCTTTCCTTGATTCATCTCTCACTTTCGCTAATTCCTCTTCTAATCTACTGACTCTTTGTAGAAGTTCCTTTCTGTTAATAAGAGCTGCCTGGAGCTTTCTCTTTCTCTGCTCACTTTCTTTCTTCAGAAGGTCTAATTCATGCTGAAGTTCTTCTTTACTTATTAGCCCTGCTGGGCTCAACTCATCATAATTATGTTTAAGGCCAGAAACAACTTCATTATCTTCTTCCACATGTTCTTTTTTTGCTTCTTCAGCTCTGGATAATAAATTCAGTTGTTCTTTAAGAGTCTTAATTTCAACTCCAAGAGAAAACTTCTCTTCATTAAGCTGAACCATTTTTTCAGTCATACTAAAGCTGATTTCTGTCACTTGCTGATCCTTCTCCTCAATGGTTTGTTGAAGGGTTTCTACATCTCTCTTTTTCTCTAGTAAGAGTTGATCCATTTTTGCTATTTCAAGTTCCTTCTGTGAAAGAGTCTGTGAAAGTTCTTCCATCCTATTTGAGATATCCTTCACTCGTTCTGCCCCCTCAAGAACTTCATTCTCTTTCTTTTGCAGCTGGCTCTGCAGACTTTTTATCAGTGAATTCTGCTCAGAAGACTGATGCTGCACAACATCCAGTTCATTCTGTAAAGCCTCGATTTTCACATCTTTAGATTTGGCTTCTATGCTGAGACTATGGATTTGTTCGGTCAGCAGATTTTGATGAGCAGTTTGGCTTTCATAGTCAGATCGTCTTTGCCTTTCTACTTCTGCAAGGTTTGTTTCCAGTTGTCCTACTTGTGTTCTCAGTTCTGTTATGAGACTAAGTTCCTTCACCTGAGAAAGAAGCTGATCTCTTTCTTCAGACAAAGCGGTGAGTGCACCGTTGGTGTTTTCAGCATTTTTCTTAAACTCTTCAATCAATTGGGTTAAGCTGCTAATTTCCTTACTTTTTGCATCTAAATTTTTCTCATAGTTTTCTTCTGCTTTACAAAAGTTCATCTCAAGCTCCAAAATTTGACTTTTTAACTTTTCCAATTCATCCTGGGGACACTGACCAGTATCTGATATGGATATCAGGGGTTTGTCAACATCCTCCTCCTTTGGTGATTTCAATTCTATTCCAGTGTCATTTAAAGATATTTCCTCAGATGTTCTGTTTTGTTGTTCAGTGCTTGCCTGTTCTTTTTCAACTGCTGGAAGACTGCTCTCTTCATTTGGCATTAGGGGAAAATCCTGTTCTGTGTTGTCAAGAGATACTTTCATTCTAACTGGAGGTATTCCCACACTTTCTGTCTCGTCAAGAACCTCATGGTCCCCCTCAGTCCTTTTGCCCTGAAGTTGCAATTTAAGAAATGCAATTTCCTCCTGGGCTTCTTTCATTTCCAGCAATAAAACTGATAATTCTTTATGTTTCTGAGAAATCGTGTTCTCTAGAACATCTTGTCCATTTTCCTCAGAAGAGTTACTCTTGTTGAGCCCGGTAACATCAACCATGCTGATCTATTTTTAAAAAGAAAGAAAGGAAAATCCTTAATCAAATGTTTCATAATATTAAAAAGAGCCTAGCTAAAAGCCAATATTTCATGCATTTTCTAAAATCTAATACTTTTGAGTCCAAATCTCCTTTGCACATAAAACTGCTAAATTCTTTTACGATCTGTTTGTATCTCTCAATCTGGACCTCTGAGGACACTCTGTCAATCCTACACTGAGGCCAAATCCTGTCCTAGTCATAAGACTTAAAGAAAACTTGAAATTCACTTTCTAATTATTCCATACATAGGAAACAGTTTCTTCAGATTTAAACTCTTAGTTGTGTCTACTAAGAACTGCTTAAAAATAAAAAAGAAAGCAGGGAAATGAGTTAATCCTTGTTTCATCTCATAAGAGGAAGATATAGAATTCTTTTTCCTAAACTACCCTTTGAAATAAGAAGATCACAATATTAGATAAAATAGCACTAACAGACAAGCAGATTATCAATCAAATTATTATTCAGATAAATTACCAGGAGCAAATAATCAAAAAGGAGCTTAGCTGATGCTTGGGCATAAAATGATGGACCTGTTTGAACCAAAATATGAACTGAGTTATTACAAAGATTCCTGCGTTGCTCAATCCATACAAATTATTTCTGTAATTGTTCTTTTGGGAAACAAAATCATTGAATCACACGGTAAATTTAATTAGCATTTTATTAAATGAATATGGGGCTAGGATATAAAATCAAATCTCTACTGTTGCCAATAACACCTTTATCCTCCCAGAAAAAAATTACACTTTGATGACAAGAAAACAAAGAAGATTGTCAAATACTAAAGTGACCAAGAGTACAAGCTTTATAGCCCATCTATCTGGATTTGTATCTTAGCTCCACCCTTGTTAGCAAAAGCTGGCACATAGTAGATATTCAATGAATATTAGCTATTATCCTAGTATCATTTTCACTAAGAAAATTATTTGATTATTCATTTTATTACAAGTTATTTCACCATTTTTCATAAGCATTATATTATTTATTTAAAATTCTTTGCTCCTTCCCTCACTTTATGTTATATTCAAATTTCTAGACACTGAAACCAGACACAGGAGTTAACACAGGGAAAAAGTTCCTTTATAATTTCATGTCACTGTCCTACTTATCTATCCCTATGTATATTGGATCATTGGAAAAGTCATGACTATTTTTCTATGTTTTTCTATACAAAAATGTGTCAGGACTGTTCTGACAACCCAGTATTAAAGCACTGAGATGAGGGGACTTCAAGTACTTTGGAAAAGTGGAATTAAATGATATTTAATTAAACATTCAGTTATATTAAAATTATATTTAATTATATTTAATTAAATTAAAACATTAATAATTACATCAGCAATATTAATAATGAAATAGATTATGTTAATCATATTAAAATATTATTAATTTAGTTTATAAATAATACATATTAATTTGTTTTATAAATAATATATTAAAATACATATAACAATGCCTTTTTCATGAGTTTTTTGAAGTCCCTGTCATACAGCTGAAGCATCATTTCTGCCAGAAAACTTTCATGTGACTCATTTGTTCTCTCTCTCTCTTTTTTTTAAGTTTTTTTTTGCCATAGGGTCCATGCGCTTGCCAGAGACAGTGAGAGGGGAAAGTGAGAAATCACCCCTATTTTCCCAGGGGGATGGCCACACCACAATCTCTTCTCCATTCTCCTCCTGGGATTTGGGGCATGCACACATACGTGCCCAGTATGATTTTCAAACCACCAGGATTCGAACCACAATCGACCATGTGGGAGTCCATCACCTTAACTACCATACCACCTGCTAGCCCCACTCTAAGTATTCTTATTTTCCCTTTTCTAACTACAATAGCTTTCAAGTCATTCTCTCACTTTCTTTCTCCCCTGCTCATGCCCTCTCCTGCTCCCTAGCATACCTACACGGAGTTCCATTAGCTTTTTGGCTTGATTAAAGAATCAATGTCATCCCATCCCAAGAGGGTGAAGAACTTCATTCTTTCTTACAGGTCTCATCATTCTTTCTTCTAACAACAGTTCTTCCCCTTCTGGCTGAGCTTATCAGTCACCCTTTCACTTATAATTTCTGTGTGGGATTTTTGTTTTGTTTTGTTTTCCTTTCTTTTTCATTGTTCGCTCTTTATTTGCTCTCTCTTCTAGTTATATTCTTTTTCTTACCAACCCTCATCTTTATTTATCTATTCTTTTTCAAGCTATGTGACCTTGTTTTTACTATTCATTATTGCTAAGCATCTTAAGCACCCCATAAGCAAAACAAGCTTCATTTTTACTATTGACTCACAATCCGTCATAACCACATAATCCTACGATTTTCAAAATTTAGTCTCCTTTGTCAAGTCAGTGAACAGAGCATCAGTAGCCCTATAAAGAAGTGTTAGTTATAACTGTGATGGTTAATTTTATATGTCATTTGATTAGGTCATGGTACTCAGATATTTGGTCATATATTATTCTAGATGTTACTGTGAAAGTATGTTTTTAGATGGCATTAACATTTAACTTTGAGTAAAAGAGATTAATCTCTCTAAAATGAGTGGACTTCATCTAATCAGTTGAAAGCCTTCACAGAAAAACTGATTTCCATCCAAAGAAGGAATTCTATAAGAATTCTGCCTTTGGACCCAAACTGACACTCACTGGGTCTCCAGTCCATAGGCCTAGACTGCTGATTTTGGACTTTCCAGTCAATGACATGAGCCCACTCTTTGTATACACACATCCTACTGGTTCTGTTTCTCTGAAGAACCCTGGCTGACAGAGTTAAGTGAGGAGATACTTCTGATAAGAAACTACATTATTCCTCAAGGCCGTTTATGACTCTATTACTGTCTTACTAATTAGAACAACACAGCTAATTAAGTATAACGTAGCTAACAATAATCTTAAGTCGACAAGGTATATTAAACAACAATAAATTTCTTACTATAATTTTTAGGACATAAAAAAGCACCATTCTCCAAAGAAACCATTTTTATATAATCTGAAGTAACTCTGCACCTCTTTGGCAGGCAGAAAGGGATTTTACCTATTCTCTCCTTTGTTAAACTTTTCTGAGAAAGAAAAAGAGGTTGAGATAAATAATAACCCAGTATAAAAAATAGGTTATCAAGTCTCAAATAAGTGGCTATTTCTGTTGCTTTAGGACAAAGAATTTCAAATATTCAGAAACAACATAAAGTAAAGAAGAAATAATAACAATTAGGAGTCTCTTAAATAGATCTCACTCTATAGGTAATATATCTCTGTCAACACTAGAAATCTGCATATACTTAAACTGGAAGCTCTTGTATCTCAGTCTAGTTAATGTTCTGGTTTTATAAAAAATACATAACTTACCTCATATACTTCTCTATCTGCTTCCCCAGTTCTATTCTGAGCCTCAAGGAGAGCAATCTGAGAAGACAGTTTTTCTGAAAAAATCACAAAGTAAGTGTCTTTAGAAGATGAATATGGAATGTTCAAAAAAAAAAAAAAGAGAGACATGACTACCATGTAGGATTATTTGAGATGCATAAAATAATCAAGAAGAAAGAAAGAAAATAGTTTGGGAAAGATAAAAAGGTTCTGTTTTATTAAAATAAAGAAGTGACAAGAGACTATGAGACGATGAGTTGTAAGCTGGAATGGTACTAGGTGATGACAACGAACCTGAGTGAAGTAAACTGCACAGTGGATGACCTGAATGGAGAAGGATGCCAGGGTGAATTTCCTTTAATTGCCTTATAACAGGACCAACAGGTAGTGTAGTGGTTAATGGGCTGGATTCCCACATGCTTGACTATGGTTTGAGTCTTGGACCTGGAATCTTGAAATCACACTGGGCACATGTGCGTGCATGCCAATATCCCAGGAGCAAAATGGAGAAGGTATGGCAGTGTGGCCAACCCCCCCAGGGGGGTTGCTTTCTCACTTCCCCTCTCTCTGTCTCTTTCTCTCTCCCTAGTTAGTAAACACACTCTATGACAAAAACCTTAAAAAAAAGTATTTATAACACTACTATGTTCATAATATATATTTTGCATTAATATAACAAAATGTCTTCAATGTTCTTTCATATATATTCATAAAGACATCACATTTTACACTAAAAGGGAGCTATCAATGACATATGAAGAATATAGATATGACCTAAGGAGTAGTGTAGAGACAGCTAGGATCAGAATCTAGGTCTTCTGAGGTTTACCCACATGTTATATTATAATGCATCTATCTACAAAGGGACTAATACCTCAGAGGTAAAAACATTGAGCATTGATATTAATATCCCCAAAGGAGCTTATATTCTTCCTGAGAAGCTAAGATAGATACACTAAAAAAAAGTTTGTTTGGGATCAGCAGTTTAGCATAATGGCTATGTCGCTGGGCCCCCATATAGTCGACCACGGTTCAAATTCTGGACCTGGTGGCTTAAACTCACGCCAGGCACGTGTGCATGCATGCCCAAGATCCCAAGAGGAGAATGGAGGAGAAGGAATTGCAGCATAGCCATCCCCCCCAGGGAGGGGATTTCTCACTTTCTGTCTCTCTGTCTCTGTCTTTCTGGTGAGCACACGCGCCCTGTAGCAAAAACCTCTCCAAAAAAAAAAGAGAAAAAAACCCATATTTTTTAAACAACATCTAAATGTGCAGAAACCTTTGAATCTACAATCTCAGCTTCTTGTGGTGCCCATTTTTGATCGCTCCACTAGGAAAATAACTTTCTTTCTGTCTTGCAAATATATCAAATTTATTCATACCTCAAGGCATTTATACTGTTTTCTTCTCTGCTTGGAATGCTTTTTGTTTAGCCTCTTTGCATGGCTGACCCCTTTCCATTATTAAGGTTTCAAGTTTTCAGAGAGACCTACCCTGTCCACTCTAATACAGCGTTCCTCTTCCCTCAGGCACACTTACAATATCCTGTTTTATTTTAATCCTAATACTGACAACTCTCTGAAATTTTTTTATTTGTATAAATGTTCATATCCTGACTTCCTCTGTAATATGTTCACAGCTGATTCACTGTATTTATAAGACTGTCTGGCACAAAATGAATGGCACCATCAATATTTGCTATATGAATGAAGAAAGGAATATCCATAAGATGAATTCATTCAGGACAGTATTACTGATATGCCTGGATACTTCACAAGATTACTTGAGGAAGGGACAGAATGGTAGGAATGGCACTGCAAAAGGGAGTTAGGAGATCATGACATAAAGCAAAGGTAACATGAAACCAGATCAAAAAAAAAAAAAAGGAAAGCCTTAAGGCTAGTGATCCTTGTAGGAAAGAAAAGAGGAGAATGTAACTCATATAATATACAAAGCCACATGAATGGGACAGGACTGTTTGCAAAACAAGCATCATGGCTGAGGTCTCAAAGGGTGCTTTGAGAGGCTTAAACAATAAGCTAAATTTATGGTATTCTTTATTAGTGACAGTGGTGATAGTCTATAAAGATGCATAATCCCTAGTTTATAGATAAACAGAAAACTGTAAAATTAGAAGTCAGTTAGAAATACTGACTTTAGAGTTTAATAGCTGATATAAACTTCTCAGTCCTAGAAGATAAAGAGTAGTAATCTGCTAATCCAGGATTAGATCAGTAAAGCATAATTAAATATATGCTACTAAATCCATAAGGTCATTGGGAAGTAGATAAGCAGAACAACATACGTCTTCATTCTTACTAACTAGACATATTGTCTAATAAAATAAAATACTGAGCTCATTTCAATCCAACAAAACTCTCTTCAGCAGCCACAATTTGTTGGGTACGATACTAGTTTTGGGCAAAGCCAGGATGAAAGAAAAATGACTTCTGCCCTTGAAGAGCTTATACTTTATCTTCAAAGAGCTTATAACATAGTAAAAACAGACAAACAAAAACATATGAACAGATTTTTCCTTTTTTAAAGAGAGAGATTTTTGCGATAGGACACATACATTCTCAGGAGAGACACAGAGATAGAAAGCAAGAAATCCTTCCCCCAGGGGGATGGCCACACCACAATCCCTTCTCCATTTTCCCCTTGGGATCTTGGGCACTCACACAAGTGCCCGGCAAGAGTTTCAAGTCACAGGGTTTGCAACTCAAACCACAATCAACCATGTGAGAGTCCAGCAATGTAACCATTCCACTATCTGCTGGACCCAATGGATCAGTTTAAATACAACTGAAAGGTATGCAAGGATGTTATGGAAGCACAAAAATACAATTAGCCAAACATTTGGAGGTGGGGCAAAATTTTAAAAAAAGGTAATTCCCTAATCAAGGCCTGAAAGGTGAGTAAAAATCAGACAGGTTAAAATAAAGGGGTTGATTCTAAGAAGAGTACAGCGTGAGTAAAAATCAAAATGGTTTTGACCTTTGAACCTTTACTTATGCTGATCTCTGTTATCTCATTCTGTAAATCTATTACCGGGAATGCCCTTCCTTTCAAATATATTATCTTCTTAAGGGCTCATTCAAGCCACACTTCTAGAGGATATCTTGACCATTCTAAAATGAATAAGAAACATACGGAAATCTTGCAGTATTTACAGCCACACTGCACAATGCTAGACACAGATAAATGCTGATACTGTGCTCCTGTTGTTTAAGATAAATCAATCTTACCTTTGATAACTGCCAGTTCTGCTATTTAAGATCTTTATTATCACAGACTCTGAGAATCTATATGTTGTACATGTAGAGTGGTAAAAGTACAGATATTTATGGGATTAGAAGACAGAAAATTATGGTTCTCATTTATACTTACCATTCTGAGCTTTCAGCTCCTCCAGCTCTACAGAACTAAGAAGCAACGCTCCCTTCTCATTCTCTAGCTCCATCACTCTCTTCTGTAAAGAGGCAATACTCTCCTCAGTGACTGCCTACATTGCAGAAAGACATTAATGATTATCCAGTGAAAAATTCTCACACCAATGCCCGGATAGCCTCAAGCACTTTTTGTCTTCTCAGAGTTCTCCAGCTGTAAAAATACTTTAAAAATAGCATCTACTTATCTGCCTAGGTAATCCTGGAAGAAATGCATTTTACCTGAAGATAGAAACAGAAATAAAATATTTCACATAAACTTCAAACCTGCTGACTTTTGAGTTTAAGACTAAAGCCTGGATTACAAAGATAGAAATCTTAAATCCACTGAATAAGAAAGAACATTTTCAGGTTCACAGATAACATCATAAGATTAGATTAATACCACCAGGTAACAAGGTCCCTCTCCTGAAGGAGAATGAATATGAAGAGAAGCTGCTCTAAGATGAATAGAGGTAAACGTATTGCATATCTCTTAAGAAAGGAAAAAGAGCTGCAATTGTTTTTTGTCATCATTTCCAAGTATAATAAAAATTCTCTTGTACTTAATTTATGCATCTAGAATGTTTGGTTTTCCTAATGATAGCTATCTACCTAATTATGCTATATCTTTAGTTTTATCTATTCTTATATATCTTTCTTGTCCAAGGGGATTACACTACAATTTTTTATAAAACTGTGGAATTTTTAAGCCAAGACATTCTTTATAGCATACTTCAACTCAAACTTCCATTTCAGGTTTAAAGAAATAGCAAGGGATAAGTTTAGGGTTTTTATGGCTCTTATCCTGAGGCAAGTTCCCAATGTACATTATACAGGGCAAGTCAAATTCCAATAGAATAGCTGTAGATATTTTTGGCTTGATAAATAAGAATGAATACAACTCCCAGAATATGAGGAGGGAAATTGGACTAAAGAGAAAAGAAGAAGTTTTACATTTTGTGTATAAACTTAGCCCAAATCCCTGGCTGAACAATGAGCTATGTAGTTGTGGGGCTGACTTGAAGCAGTCCATTTAAGGCAAAAATAACTGAATTGTGTTTTGTATGGTTCTCTACCAGAGTTTGCAGATTTGAGGCCAAGTTATTGGCTGTACTGAACTCTTTAGAATCTTAGAAGCAACAGAATACAATCTTGAGAACAAAACATTCACAACATCCAGGATTCGCTCCAACATCACTCATCACATAAAGAAATAGGAAAATGTGACCTATTCTCAACCAAAAAACACAGTTAACAGAAAAAAAAAAAAAAAAACACAAAATGATACACATTTCAGAACTAGCAAATAAGGATTTTAAAGTGATCATAGCTATGCTTAGGACATAAATGAATGAAAATATAGGATATCTTGGTACCTTAGTACAAAGAAACTATAATATAATGAACTAGTTTGAAATCCTAGAACTAAAAACCACAATATGTAAAATGAAAAATTCAATGGTTTGGCTTAACAGAGATGAGAGAAAGTCTTGTCAACAGAAATGATCCAGTCTGGGCTCAGTTGTAGTGGCACAGACAACAGGGTACTACTCTGTAATTCTGGAGACATATGGAAGACAAGGGCTTAGAAACTGGGCTGAACTGAGCACACCAGGTATGCTTGCACCTATGATCCTGGCTGGCTATTAGGCTGGGGGAGTATTTCAGCATGATGAGACCATGTTGAGGTTGCCTGTTTCTCTCTCTCTCATGGAATAAAATAAAATAAACTTTAAAATAAAAAGAAATTATTCAGTCTGAAGACTGAAGATGATGAAAGATTGAAGGAGAAAAAGAACACAACTGATAAGGTGTGGGACAATATTAGAAGATTCAATACACTTGTAACTGAAGTACCAAAAGAAAGGATAGAGAATGGGCAGAAATCTATTTTAAGAAATTGCCAAAGTTCTCTTACACATAAGGTTATACATGTAAAACACTGAACAAAAGCAAGTAAGAAAATAACAAAGAAAACTACCACTAATTCCCTTTTGTTCTGATATTCATGCTGAATAAGCAGTCTTCTGGTGATTATAATCCACCTTTCCACAGAAATTTTTGTAGAAAGAAGAGAGAATATAGTAGCCAATTAGTAGCCAATTGACAATTAAATGTTTTACTGTTAATTTCTGGGAACAATATGATTTCTATAATAAATGCCTGAGTTTGGTTAGACTGACTTGTGTACCCTAAGCCTAATCAAATATCAAACTACCAAGACCCAAATTGGCTTTTGAACTGGGAAAATTTATTATAAAAGCAAGTATTCAATCTCCAATACAGATTTTTAACCCTTAGAATCTGAAAGGTTCCTGAGATCATGGTGCTATTTTCTCATTATTCACTGTTGAAACACTTTATTAATACCATTCGTGAATCCAACAGAATTATGTCCCCCCCAAAAAGCATTTTATCAGTCAGAAAAGACTGAAGTTTTCTATTGCTTTCTGGAATAAATTCCCATAGTATCCCCAAGCATAGATACAGCAAAGACAAATGTATTCAGAAGAAATTTGCATCTAATTACCTGTGAGCCCTCATTATAAGCATCTGGGAAAGAAGTCTGAGAAGCTGTTTCATGTTTTTGCAAGGCTGGTTTATTTAGAAATTGCTTCATTTCTTCCAATTTCTGTTGAAGTTGATCTAAGGAAAAGAAAACAAATAACAGAGATCTCTGCTTCAAGTCTGAAACTTTGTTTCTTCTAAGAATATGCCATACACTGTTAACTAGTTATCTTTTTTTTTCTTTTCTTTACATTTATTTTTTTACATTAATTCACTATACATCATTACAGCATACAAAATGAATTTTCCATCCAGAATACACTGTATATTGGCTCAATCAAGCACATCAACATACATGTTATCAACAAATAATTTTCCATTTCTTATGTCTTGTATATTT